ATGGTGGTAAGAGATTGGTGGTCAGTGGTCACAGCCAGTTCTTGCAGATGATCGGCCTGGGTAAATCCCTCCCACTGGCATGCCAACAGCAACCAAGGCCCAACTACAAGAGGAAAATGTACACAGCCAACATGGTGGGCATACCTCAAGTACCCAGCTTGGGTAATAGAAGAGGCAATGCCGCTGGACCTTACAGGACACCTACTACATTAGGCCACTGTACCAAGCCAGGGAGTTCTAACAGCTCTAATTAATATATAGAAACAAACACAGGGAGGCTGCCAAAATGAGGAGACAAAGAAACATGGCCCAAATGAAAGAACAGAACAAAACTCCAGGAAAAAAAAAGAAAATTAAACAAAATGGAGACAAGCAATCTACCAAATGCAGAGTACAAATTACTGGTACAAAGATGCTCAATCGACTTAGCGGAAGAGGAGATGAACTTAGAACTTCAACAACATAAAAAAAAAAAAAAAGACATGAAAACCTTAAAAAAGCCAATCAGAAATGAAGGATACACTAATTGAAATGAGGAACAGTTTACAGAGAATCAATAGTAGAGTGATGAAGCTGATAATCAAAACAGCAGTTTGGAATATAAGGAAGCAAAAAATACCCGATCAGAACAGCAAAAAAAAAAAAAAAAATCCAAAAACATGAGGGTAGTGTAAGGAGTCTCTGGGACATCTTCAAGCATACCAACATTTGCTTCATGGGGGAGCTGGAAGGAGAAGAGAGCAAGAAATTGAAAACCTATTTTAAAAAATAATTACAGAAAACTTCCCTAACTTGGTGAAGGAAACAGATATACAAGTCTAGGAAACACAGAATTCCAAACAAGGCCCACTCCAAGACACATCATAACTAAAATCCTGAAGGTTAAAGACAAAGAGAGAGTCTTAAAAGCAGCAAGAGAAAAGCAGTGAGTTATCTACAAGGGAGCTCCCATATTGTCAGCTGATTTCTCAAAAGAAACTTTACAGGCTACAAGGAATTGACAAAAATTCTTCAGTGATGAAAAGGGAGGACCTACAAACAAGATTACTCTACCCAACAAAGCTATCATTTAGAACTGAAGGTCAATAAAGAGCGTCTCAGACAAGAAAAAAGAGTAAAGGAGCACATCACCACCAAACCAGTATTATATGAAATGTTAAAGGATCTTCTTTAAGAAGGAGATCAAATATATGAACAATAAGATGGCAATAAATTCACATCTACAAATAACTGAACCTAAAAAACAAAATAAATGAACAAGCAGAACAAAACCAGGATCATAGATCCAGAAAACGCTTTAATGGTTGTGAGATAGGAGGCGAGTCTGGGGGGTGGGCTAGAAAGGTGAAGGGATTAAGAAGTACAAATTGGTTCTTACAGAATAGTCATGAGGATGTATAGTACAGCATAGGGAATATAGTAGCCAAAGAATACATATGCATGATTCATGGACATGGAAAATGGTGTGGGGATTGCCTGAATTAATGGGGGGGGGGGCGGTCTGGGTAGAGGAGGAAAAAATGGGACAACTATAATAACATAAACAATAGAAATATAATTTAAATTTTTTTTAAAAAAAGGAACTTCGGAGGCACAGGCAGTGGGCTGATATGTTCAAAGTGGTAAAAGAAAAAAACGGTCAACCAAGACCCTAAATTCAGCAAAACTATCCTTCAAAAGTCAGGGAGAAATTAAGAAATTCCCATACAACCAAAGGCTCAGGGAGTCTGTGACAAATAGACCTGCTCTGCAAGAACTACTAAAGGGAGTTCTGCAGGTTGAAATGAAAAGACACTAGACAATACCAAGAGGCAACATGATAAAATAAGTATCTCAATGAAGATAAATATATGCACAGTTATAACAGCTAGTAACAACAGTATCTAACTCTGCATGATTTAAGGAACCTATACATTTAAAAAATTATTAGACTAAAAGTTAGTATTACTGTGACTTTGGTTTGAAATTCTGTTCTGTTTTCCACATAATTTAAGAGACTAATGCATTTAAAATAACTATTGCATTATGGTTTGAAGCATACATATACTGTATAAAACTGTAATTCTGGGACATCAATATCCACACACAGGCAACCACTAATCTTTCTATCTTTATACTTTTGGCTTTCCTAGAAATTTCAAATAAATGAATCATATACAGTCTTCTTTAGCTGGTTTCTTTTTTTTAGCATGATATTCTTTTTAGACTGATATATGTTGATGTATGCATCAGTACTTCATTCTTTTTAATGGATAAACAGTATTCTATTGCATGGATATACCACATTTATTTATCTACTCACTAATTGATATATATTATTGTAATGGCCTGTAGTAGTATGGCATTGGGAGTTTAACTGGTATTACCCTACAGATTGATGATGCTGGACATCTTTTCAAGAATTTACTTGCCATTGATATAACTTCTTTGAAAAAGAGTCTATGCCAAAAATTTTTAATTCAGTTGTTTGACTTATTTTTGAATAGTAAGAATTATTTACATTTTATAGATTCGCATCCTTTATTGGGTATCTCTGAATACATTCTGCCATTTGCTATCTTGTTTTATAATCTTCTTGATGATGCTTTTTCAAGGGCAAAGATTTATTTTGCATGTTTTAAATTCTTTAAGAAAAATATGTCTCCAAAGCCGAGTGAATAAAGAGAAGATACAGTCACAACATAATATCTAGTAAAAAAAAAAAAAAAAAGAATTTGAAGTACATTTCCAGTATGACTCTCATTATATAAAGTATACAGGGTAGGGAAAAGGTAGGTTTTCAGTTGTTTGTAAAGAAAAAGACACACAGGTTATGATTATTACAATAGCTTTATTACCTCTGTTTCATGTACTCACAACTGTAAATCTACTTTTACCCCCACCTTACACTGGGGGAGACCCAAAAAAAACCCAGAATTTAATTATAAAAAGATGTGTATTTATTCTTCATATTTAAACTTCAGTCACCTTCAAAGTACTCTCGATTTGATACATCTATTGAGACTTTTTTCCACTGCTCAAAACAGTTTCTGAACTCATTGATACTGATGTCTTTTAGTGCTTCTACATATTTTTTGTTTGTTTGTTTCATCTCTTCCACACCTGCAAAACATTTCCCTTTGAGGACTTCCTGATCCAGGGAAACAAACGAAAAAAAAAAGTTGCTGGGGCAAGAGCAGGTGAATAGAGGGAGTGGGACATGGGGTTCATGCTGTTTTTGATCAGAAACTGCTAACACTCATAGAGTTGTGGGCAGGTACACTTGTAAATCGCCCACCATGAAACTGGCAAATGCAGAGTCTTCAAAAAAAATTCACTGAAGCCAAACACAGCTTCTCGCAACAACCCCAGCTAAATACATTTCTTAAGTTTTAATTTTTATTTTTCCCTCTTTTATTTAAAAATTTTTATTGTATTTTTTCTATTACCATTTAGTCCTCTTATACTCCTCTCCCTGGCCTCACAATCACCACACTGTTGTCCATGTTCATGAAAAGAACTTAATACATTTCTAAAAATCAAACCAGTTCATCATTAGCTACACTCAGAACTTCTGAAATAATCACGGCCCAAATAACATCTGAAAGTAATGTACACACGATATGAAAACTGTATTTACCAAAAGAATTAAAAAATAATACAAGGTATGGTTTTCATTTTAAAACAAAACCTAGGCTCTCTCCTTCACATGTTTGTATCCTTCCAAAACAGCACTATCCATCAGAGCTTGATGGAAATAGAACTGCAGTGATGCAAAGGTTCTTCCTATCACCCAAGCATCCGCCACTAGCCACAATACAGCAATGGCTATAGAGCACTGGAAACAGAAATGTGGCTAGTGACTACCTTAATATTGACATTGAGATATGACTGAGAAATTAAGTTTTTAACTTAATTTTAATTCAAATAAGCACACATGGTTAGTGGCTACCACACCAGACAATACAACTCCGGCAGCGGGGGGAAACCAACCAGATTCATATCTTTATTGACCATTTTCCTCTTCCTTTCAGTCATTCAGTAATTTACTGATATTCTATATTCTCTAATTTCTCCTTTGATATCTACTCAATCATAACTTCAAGAAAAAGTTGTTCATTAAGCTTCCTCTACTTTCTCTTGAGAATGAGAACAAATGAAGAGTACCAATTACTCCAAGATTTAATGAGTAAAACCACATTAGCCTAAACCAAATTTAGCTTTTCTTTTGCCTAATTCTTCAGGGGTAACGTGAGTTTCTCAACTCTTCAGTGCTCTTCAGAGCTGCTTTGTCCCCTACCAGCTTTTTTTCTTTTTATCTTTGTTCTTCCTCTTGTGGAAAAGCAAAGGGAAAGGAAGAAACTGAACACAATTTTATCAACAGCATCACTTTAGCAAGAAGAGAATTATACTTGCTAAAGTAGAATTACTCCAGCAAGTACACAAACATTCATAATAAAAAATTCTATCAGAAGCATTAATGCACAAAGATTTTGTTTTATTTGCCTTTGAATAAAGCATTTTTTCCCTTCCACTTAGGTCACTACGAAGCTAAAACGTATACTTAGGGCTCACAAATAACTGACTCAACCTGGTGTTAACTCCCTTTTATATCTTCATAAATGAGTTTCACATACATATCTTAAACTGTTAAGATTCATTCCTAAATTTTAGTACTATAATAATTCTCAAAACCTTTTTCAAGATTAACAAATAAAACAAAACTAATAAATATAAATTACTTGAACAGATTTCCTGTAATTCAGAGTATCTTCTTACCTCTGATAATGTCCAAATTAAAGGGGCAAACATCCTTTTTTTTCTTTTCAAATAAAAAAATTCATTTGTACAAACAGAAGCAATACGATTTTTAAGCAGTGTGACTTTATCATACTTCTCCAAATACTCAAAAGAACTTACACAACTGTGGTCAGTCAGATCATTAATTAACAATTTCCTACATAGATTAGATAATCAATATTTTTCTGTTCATGTATTCTATTTTAAATAATCTAACATACCTTGAATTTTCATGTTCTTGAAAATGTTGTGCTCTTAATTGGGATGCCACAAACAATGATGATGCTATGGCCAATAGCTGGTTTCTCTCATTCTCTGTTAACTTGTGTCCTGAGGGAAATCAATCAACCAATAAAACAATCAAGATACACACATAATATTAATATCTGTGCTTCTGTCTTTTAGAATTATGAATCGTTACAACAAGTATGTTGTCAAGCATCTACTATGGAGCTAAATATTGTACCAGACATTGGAGCTTGCAGCGGGAATGAGAGAGAGCAAGATTGTTTAAATTTTAAAAAAAAAACAAAAACAACAATTCTCACTGGAAGTTTATTGTCTAATTTCAGAAGAAAAAGAAATATTAGTCATGCACTGAATGAAACAATTACAAATAAAATAATACTCAGATCTCTAGGAAAAACTTAAGGCTCCTCCATCTCCTTCTCCTTATCATTCCTCACCCCCAATTCTACTACTAAGGAGAGGATAAAGGAAAGGTGGAAAAGGGGTATTGGTGGACAAGAACACTGCCTACGCCATGTTCTATAATATGAATAATTAAAGGAAAATAAAGGTGTGATATTCTTGTATGTAGTCAGGGCTTGAATTCCAATCTCTGCCAACTAATCTCTCTCTCTCCTCCTTTCTTTAATTCCTACCATAATATAGTGGACCTGGGGCAGTGTTCTAGCCTAACAAGGCTTAGGGAGGCTACCTGGTCTGGCTGAGTCTTGGGCAGCAGAGTAATCTGGTGTATTTGCATAATTCGTTAAGAAGTGTGTGAGTCAAGGCAGGATTTGATATTTCAGGGTCTGCAGTTCAATATGTCCCCTTAAGAGCTGTAATCTTACCACAATTTCTAACATTATTTATTTACCAAAGTACTATACACAGATAATAGAGTGCTAAATGGTACAGCATTGGCAATCTGAAAGCTGAATGATCAGCAAGAAGATGCTACTTGTAAAATTCACAAAAGAAAAAATCATCAGTTATTTGAAATCATTTGAAAGAGACGATTTGAACATGTTTTTAAAAATCACTTAAAATAGAAATGACTACAAAATATTCATAATTAGAATACAGATACTTTCCAGACCTGCAACACATTTTTATACAGGGAGGTGCTTTATGAAACTGAAAGGTGCAGTGTTTCATGAAACGGAAGGGAAGGGAAAGCCCAGTAATGTTCCAGTGTGCAGCATCTGCCTATTTCCTTATTGTAAATACTTTTATTAAGGCTAGCTTTGAACTACCAAAGAGAATGGATTAGGAGGAGATGGGCACAGTGGCTGTCCCAAGACATATAGAGGCCATAGGAGCCTATGGAACAGAGTCCTCAAAAAGGTGTTTCAACAGTCTAAATGCTTCCTTGTCCTTTGAAGTCAGCCTTGATTCCCTAAATCAGAATTGGTTTCTTTTTTCTTTACTCTCAAGATACTTTGCTTGTATTTTTACTTAGCACTTATTTTATTCTGTCCTGTAATTAGTTAGCTCTTCACATGTTTATTTATCTTGTGATGTAAGCTCCTTAAGAGCAGGGAAAATGTATTATTTGTCTTTGATTTTCTTCTAGAGCATAGGTTTATTATTTGTTGAATAATTTTAATGACTGGACTTTTAATGGCCACACTTCAGTCCATATATCATAATACCCTTCTTAAAAGTAAAGGTAAAAAACAAAACAAAACAAAAACTATTTGACTAAATTCAGTGAAAAACAATGGTATTCTTATATTGAGTCAAATTTCTATAAAAATTCTGTAACTTTTCAGAAGAGAAAGATAATTTTGATCACTTCTTTTGATTAGGCAGGTGACTGAAGGGTAGTAATGCAGCAGAGAAATAAATCTAAAACGTTTATTACAGGCCAACTGAAATGTTCCTAAAATGAAATAGTTTCTTAAAATACCTTTTTTCTCATTTTCCCTTTATTTCAAAATCAAAATTCCTTTGTACCCATTTTCCACTTATTTTTCTGAATCAAAGGAAAATAGCTTTATAACATGAGAATCTAATAAATTGACATGAAGAAGAAATTCTTGTGTATACTATTTTTAAAATTTAGACACAATCATTTCAAAGTTCTGTCTAAGAACCTTCAGTAACAGGGCCCTAGTCTACAAATAAACTTGGGGTATTAAACATATATAGTAGAAAAATTTCTATGCATTTTATAAAAATAGGCACTTGCCAATGCATAGTGCCTAGGATAGCTGGACAGATGGAAAGCATATGAGTAATCCCAAAGGGGCAAAATGACCCAGCCTCAAACATATGGAGAAGATCCTGGATTAACTGCAGTTGCCACTTCCTGCTGCTCTTTCAGGCACATATATCAAAAAATCAAAATGACACAGTTTAATATATCTAAGATCTGTTCTGGGAGAAAAGAAATAAGAGTAATCTGAAGATAAAGAACAAGAGATAGTAGCTATTCAGAGAAGAAAGAACTGACACAAAATTAATATGAGAAAATAAGAGGTAGACATGAAGAATGGTAAATAAGGTGTGTACTTTAAAGTCCTTACAAGCAATATGACAACATATAGCATACTCTGGGAAACTTTTGTGATTTATGACTTTGAATCTTAGCACAATTGAATGAATACTATAGGTAAAGTTGAAAGCTCTAAATTCATATTATTGGCTTTTTAGCATTAATCTCTCTGTGCCTTGCTTTCCTCACATGTAAAATGAAAGCTGAGGTTAAAAGGTGCTAACAGCCATTCTAATAACATGTAAGAGTTTAAAAATTGTGTTCCTGCCTTACATAAGCATAACAAACAAAATTATATTGTCAGTGCTGATAATTTCCTACCAAAAAAATTTAATATATTAAGTTTATCACAGAAAATTGCAGTAGTAGGTGCTAGGTAAATTTCTGAGTTCCCTTAGAAATGCGGGACATTATTGCTAAATGTATAACACATAGCAATCAACTCCAATGAGAAATTTTTAATCCCCCATTTTCTTCTCTATGGTAATTGTATGTGTCATATATGCATATATACAGACACATATATAAATGTGTGTATGTATATACAGGAACCCATGTACATATACAATATGTTTGTTCTAAAGGTTCCCTGAAGTTTTGACTTGTGTTCTTATCACTACTGTTTCATGTTATATCACCTTCACAGAGGCATTAGTCAGGCACACAGAAAAGCATCTGGAAGTCCTGGTTGAACTTAGAGTTTGTGTAGTTACTAGGGATACAATATAAAGCAGTAACATAAGTGGTTCCTGGAGTCATGAAAACAATGTATGTTAACAAAATAATCACGCAAGTATAAAACTGCATATTAATATTGTATTATATATGTATAAAAACTTAAAAGTTCAGGGAAAAGGACCTGATAATTCATTAGTCTTACTTAAGTTCCCAAATAAAATACATTCCTCATTTCATTTGGTACTAATAATAAAATCCTGTAACACTAATGTTTTGAAAGAACAATTAAATCACTAATCTCTATTTAGTCTTATGAAAATTCTGTATTGTAAATTGAGGTAAGAAATTGCTTTGTAAATGTATTCACTAATTCAGCTACATGAAGTTGACCTGAATCTATCTACAGTTTCTAAAATGACTAAGACATTTTATCTACTAATACACTTTAAATGGATATAAAGAACACTTGATATTTGTGAGAGAACATCGAATCTTCTTATATCCCCAAGTTCATTAGAAATATACATAAATGCTTTTTGCTTCCACAAGTGACATGTCTATTAAGTCTCTTGTAAGTCCTATTGCTTTCTTTTTTTTTAAATTGTTCAAGTACAGTTGTCTCCATTTTCCCCTGTTACTTTATTAATATCACATTAGCCATGTTTTCAAAGCTCACTAATGGGTTTTCTCTGTCTCTCACTTGAGCAATTTTTCTACTACCTGGAAATATGAATAACTTTGCAGTACTGAATTTTATATTCCACTCATTATTTTATACAAAACCAATATTTTAGAATACAAACTTCCTTCTTGTTAGACATTTCATTTTGATTAATAGGAATAATATTTGGAATTCTGAAATTTTCAGTGCTAATTTTCATAAGTATATAGTTTTAATTATTAAAGAAGAGTTCCTGCATATACCCATACCAGCGAAGAATATAAATCTGAATTGCCTTTCAGAAATCGGAAAATCAGATAGGCTAATGCTCTGCCTATGTGTTTTGCTTCAAAACTGGACTAGCACAACATTCCACATAGTTTAATTCCTCACTCAATGAAGTTACATATTATTACAATTATTACATTCATGAATTACTCACGAATACTCAAAATCTAATTAACCATAGTCTAGGACACTCTAAATATGTTATTAAGTCAAGTATAATATAAGCTAAAGGTGTCAATTTCAAAATACAGAAAAAAGTGTATATTACAATAAGTATAAAAATAATAACTTTAAAATACTAAAATAACTTAATGCATACAAACCTTTAAAGCCATCAGGATATTCATCAGAAAGAAATTTAGTGTTGAAGTCTCCTTTTACAAAGCGTGAGTTGATTATCACCTCTCGAAGTAATGCAATGTTATGTGTAACACCTAAAAATAAAATGATTATCAAATTGAATTGGAGAACAGTAAGTCAGTTACAAATTTAATTTCTATTATCAGTAGAAATTTATTACCAGTTTCCTATGACCTAGCAAGAACAATGCAAGATTACTCATCTCCTTCAATTCAAAGTGACAACAACAACAAAAATATGAACTTGACATAGCAATAAAACTCTAAATGTAAACTTAAGAAGGTAGTGACTGCTAAGTCAATTCAATGGGGATAAATGTCTTTTCAATGTAGGGTAGAACAGTGATATATCCATTTCAGAATAAAAGAAAATAAGCCCCAACCCTAACTCATACCATGCACAAAAATTAATTCTAGTTCAATCACAAACCTGAATGTAAAACCTAAAAGTATAAGACATAGTAGTAGAAAATATAGAAGAAGGAGGGGCAAGATGGTAAAGGAGTGAATGGAAGTCACACTGACCTCCTCCAAAGACCAATCTGGAACTACAACTAAATTATGGAGAAATCACCTGGATCAAACAACTGAACATAGCGAGAGAGAAGCCTTATAACCTTGAACGACAGAAGATTCAGCTTTAGGACAACCTCACTGGTAAGGAGTGCAGTGGAGACTCGAGAAGGCTGGATGGACACCCAAGGCAGCAGCCCCAGAGGGATATTTAAGTGGCCAGTTGGATCCCTGTGAGAAGAGTGGGGTCAAAACCAAAAGCAGGGATCCCCACCCTACAGTACCAGAGCCCAAAGAGTACAAAGATAACAGCCAGCTGCAAAAAGTGGCAGGGCTGCTCTCTGCCAGAGATGGGCAGCTGGAAATAAAAAGAGCAGTTTAAAAGGCCAACGTATAAATTTTCATTTGCAGCCACTTACCCCGGGCTCCAGCAAAGGTGGGGGCAGAACAGGCTAGACATGCCTGAGGAGAGACTGGGGAAAGAGTCTTTGGGGAAAGAACTGAGAGAGTAGCCAGTGGAATCCCAGTGCTGGGTCATACCCCATATAGCAGCAGCCATCGTGCTCAGAAAGACCACATCCCTGAGTTGCACCAGTCTGAAAAGAAACAATATCCCCACCCCCACGAGAGACTCAATCCTGGACCTGTGGTGCATTAAGCCTGACTGCTGAGTACAGAGTGGCAGCAACAGAACGTAGATCCCTGGCTAAAGGGGGCACAGAGTAGACTAGAGACACTGAGAAGACATGAGACTGAGGCTTTGGGGATAGAAATGAGAAAGTAGCCAGAGGGATCTTGGTGCTGACTCATTCTCCATATGGCTGCAGCCATCATGCTCAGGAAGACCACTCCCTTGAGCAGCAGCCGGAGAGGAAATAATAGCCTCGCCCCCACAAGGGGCTTTGCCTGTGGTGCTTAAGCCTGATTGCTGAGTGCAAAGTAACTAAATAAACACCTGAAGGAGACAGCCACAGACAGTAATTCCTGGAAATCTTGAACAGACTGTCTGAAGTAAGATGGGGTCAAATCTGACATCACCAGAGGCAGATCCAGAAAGAAAAAACAGCAGTAAATACTAGAGGCTACTGAAATGAAATCCACTAGGGTCTTCTCCATGATTTGTAATATTTTCTTTACTACATAGCTTTTAAATGTTCTTTCAGGTCCATCAAGTTTGTGCATATAAAGCCATTAGATTTTATACTAATAGGTTATTTCTCTCCTTTCTTATAATAGTATTAATCTCCTTAAAACATCAATAATACCGGTTCATTTGATAGTGGGATTGCAGGGGGGAGTTATTTTTATGGATGTGGGTTTGCTTCCTTGGCTTTGTGGATATGTTCTGGCAGCACCTGCACAAAAACACACAAGACGTGGTGGGCAGAGTGACCCTCAATCTACCAGGTGGAAGGTAGGACCCATGAAAGACCAAAAAACAATCAAAACTAAATTAGTACAAGGGAGATCCAATAAGGCTAGCAGATGGCTTCTCAACAGAAACACTATAAACCAGAAGGGAATGGCAAGAAATATTCCAAGTAATGAAAAGCAAAGGCTTGAAACCAAAACTTCGCTACCCAGCAAGGTTCTCAATTAAAATGGAAGGCAAAATAAGGAGTTTCCCAGACAAAAGAAGGCTAAAAGAACATACCTCCACCAAACCAGCACTGCAAGATATGCTACAGGGACGGCTTTAAGAAGATGAAGAAAAAACTTGACAAAGAGAGGAACATAGGCACAAAGGGATAAAAATGATTAAGTACTTATCCATAATAACTTTAAATGTAAATGGATTAAATGCTCCAATCAAAAGACATAGGGTAGCTGAATGGATAAAAAAACATGACCTGCACATACGCTGCCTACAAGAGACCCACCTCAGAACAAAGGACCTACACACCGAAAGTAAAGAGATAGGAAAAAATGTTCCAAGCAAATGGACAGGAAAAAAAGCCAGGATAATAATACTTGTATTAGACAAAATAGATTTCAAAACAAAGGCCATAAAAAGAGACCCAAAAGGACACTTCATAATACTCAAAGGAAGAATCCATCAAAGGGCATAAACATTGTAAACCTATATGCACCCAACATGGGAGCACCCAAATATAAAATCTTGGAGGACTTCAAGAAAGATATAAACAGCAACACACTGACAGTAGGGGATTTTAACACCCCACTGTCAACAAAGGATAGATCTTTCAAACAAAATACCACAAAGGATATTGTGGCAATGAACAATGCATTAGATCAAATGGACTTAACTGGTATACATAGACTCTTTCACCCCAAAGAAGCAAAATAGATATTGTTTTCAAATGCACGTGGAACATTTTCAAAGATAGACCACATGACAGGACAAAAAACAAGCCTCAATAAATTCAAGAACACTGAAATCATAACAAGCATTTCACAAACCACAAGGGCCTGAAACTAGAAACCAACCTCAAGGAAAAAACTTAAAAACATTCAAACTCATGGAGACTGAATTGCACGCTATTCAACAATGAATGGGTAAATAATGAGATCAAAGAAGAAATCAAAAAGTTTCTGGAAACAAATGAAAATGAACACACAACAGTCCAAACCTATGGGGTACAAAGAAGGAAGTCCTGAGAGGGAAGTTCATAGCAATACAGGCCTACCTGTAAAAGACAGAAACATTTCAAATAAACAACCTAACCCTACAGCTTCAAGAACTGGAGAAACAACAAGAAACAAAGCCCAGAGCAAGTAGAAGGAAAGAAATAATCAAGATCAGAGCAGAACTGAATGACGTAGGGGCTAAAAGAATGACTCAAAGGATCAGAAAATCCAGGAGCTGGTTCTTTCAAAAGAACACCAAAATCAATGAGCCTTTAAGCACACTCATCAAGAAAAAAAGGGAAAGGACTCAAATAAATAATATCAGAAATGAAAGAGGAGAAATTACAACTGATACCACAGAAATACAAGGGATCATAAGAAATCACTCTGAACAATTATATGCCAAGAAATTTGAAAGCCTCGATAAAATAGACAAATTTTTAGAAAAATATAACCTTCCAGCATGGAATGAAGAAGCAGCAGAAAGCCTGAACAGACCAGTAACAAATGGTGAAATTAAAGCAGTAATCAACAAACTCCTGGCACACAAAAGCGCTGGACCAGACAGTTTCACAGGAAATATTGATAAAACATTTAAGGAAGAGCTATCCCTTGTCCTTCTCAGAGTATTCGAAAAATCCAAGAAGGTGGAAGACTCCCAAACTCTTTTTATGAGGCCAATATCATCCTAGTCCCAAAACCAGATAATACAAGAAAGAAAACTACAGACAAATATCGCTGATGAACAAAGAGGTTAGAATCCAAAACAAAATATTGGCAAACCACATCCCACAATACATTAAAAAGATCATCCACCATGATCAAGTGGGATTCATCCCAGGGATGCAAGGTTGGTTCAATACTTGCAAATCAATAAACATAATATATCACATAAACAAAAGGAAATACAAAAATCACATGATTATACCAATAGATGCAGAAAAAGCATTTAATAAAGTACAGCACCCATTTATGATAAAAACAGTCAGCAAAGTGAGAGTAAAGGAGGTATACCTCAACATAATAAAGGCCATATATGATAAACCTACAGCCAACATCATACTCAAAGGGCAAAAACTAAAAGCTTTCCCACTAAGATTTGAACAAGACAAGGTTCTCTGCTTTTACCCCATCGATTCAACATAGTACTGGAAGTCCTAGCCACAGTGACCAGACAAGAAAAACAAATAAAAGGCATCCAAACTGGAAAGGAGAAGTAAAACTGCCATTGTTTTATAGATGACATGATACTGTACATAGAAATCCCTATAGACTCCAACAAAAAACTACTCGACCTAGTAAGAAAATTTGTCAAGCAATGGGATACAAAGTCAATAGTCATAAATCAAATGCATTTTTGTATACCAAAAATGAAATATCAGAATCAGAAATCAGGGGGAAATCCCATTTGCTATAGCAAAAAGAAAAATTAAGTACCTAGGAATAAACCTAACCAATGAAGTAAAAGACCTGGACTCAGAAAACTACACAATACTGAAGAAAAAATTAAGGAAGACACAAATAAATGGAAGTATAAACTGCGTTCATGGACTGGAAGAATTAACATGATCAAAATGTCCATACTCCTAAAAGCAAATTATAGATTTAATGCAATCCCTATTAAAATACCAATGATGTATTTCACAGATGTAGAACAAACATTTCAAAAAGTCATATGGAACCCAAAGCGACCTTGAATAACTGCAGTAATTTTGAGAAAGAAGAATAAAGTAGGAGGGATCACAATACCTGACATCAAACTATATTATAAGGCCACTGTTATCAAAACAGTCTGGTACTGGCATAAGAACAGACACACAGAACAATGGAACAGAATAGAGAGCCCAGAACCCAAGTCTCTATGGTCAATTAGTATTTGACAAAGCAGGAAGAAGCATAAAATGGAATAAAAATAGCCTCTACAACAAATGGTGTTGGGAGAGCTGGACAGCTAAGTTCAGAAAAATGAAATT